AAAAGAAATAGAACAAAACAATGAGAACAATGAGGAAGTATCTTTTGTGGCCTCAGATATGCAAGTTAAAGCAAAACCATGGTTCCAAGATGTGTTGTCCCTGTTTATATATAGATGAACAGTGATCTCATACAACAGTTGTATTATAATATAATGCAACTACATTTCTAGAAAACTATGTTTGTGGTATTTGTATGATCCAAAATTTTACACACACTCTCTTTTCGTCTAAATAACAATCCCCAAAAAAAAGTTTGATTTAAACTCTAGATGTGGTAAAAATGAGTCACCTCCAACAATGAATGTAGACCATTCGTTTGGTGAATTTCAAGATTTAGCCTTTGCACACTCAAAATCATTTCGTTCTTTTTTAACATTGTTCATCCAATAACAATAAAGCCTTCTAAACAAATTGGAAAAGAAAAAAAATCCTTCTAAGGCCTCGATCTAAGCATCTTATCAAAATGGACGGCTTATGTTCATTGAGCTAAAAAAATACTTTCAAGGTTGCGTTTTCAAATTTTTATTTTTTGTGATTGTTTATTGGAATGAAGAGTGTATATTTTAAAATTTGTATCAAACAAATGGCCATAACATAGTTTTTGAAGGTTGTTGCATTATATTACTATACAACTTGCATGAGATTGCCCATATATATATATATATATATATATGGAAAAGTTTTCCCAATGCCTATAGGCGAAAATGAATAGTGATTTTGCCTACCCACTTCACCGTCCAAATTTCATCGCGCGGTCACGATTATCTGGTAGTGTTTTATTTTTCATTTTTTTTCTACAAATGGGAATGACCTGAAATTTGGAGTGTATATACATCTTACTGAGGCGCATCTAATAAAAATATAAAAAAATTATCCGCGAAAAAAAATTAACCAAAATACCCTCGAAACTTTTCGGGGGTATTTTGGTTAAATTTTTTCTTGTAAAATATTTTTTTTTATATTTTTTGAAGATTCCCCTATTTTTGATGAATACACGTTCCAAATTTCAGGTTATTCCGATTTGTAAAACAAAAATAAAACACTACCAGACATCGTGACCGCACGATGAATTTTGGACGGTTATGGGGGTAGACGAAATCACTGTTCATTTTTGCCTATAGGTGTTGTGTAGTGTTTTCATATATATATATATATATATATATAGTAAGGGAGAGAA